CCTGAACTTCCCGGGGGGAGACCCTCAGAGAGGGGCAGGAGGGGCTGGGGGGCCGCTGATGGGGGCTTTGGGGGGGGCTCAGAGTAGGACTGGGCCAAAAAGGAGCCAGTGCCCCGGGGGTGTGAGGAGGGTGTGGCAGGCAGGAGCCGGGCAGGGCACCTCTATGTAGAGCTGGGGGGCAGCGCTAGGTGCTGTGCTCAGCTCTGGGAGGCGCCCTGCAGCCGGAGGGCTAGGAGGGCACGTGGTGGGGGGATCAGCAGGGAGCTCCCAGAAAGGTGCCCACAGCAGTTGGGCAGGTTAATGTCTCTAGGGGTTGGAGAAGAGGTGACAGGTGGGGGTTGGGGTCACAGTTAGAGACGGGGAGAAGGTCGGGGTCCCTGTCTGTCACCCCCCACCCCAGGGAATGTCTGGGAGAGGAGCTGGGGGGTCTCATGGGGCTGGGAGTCTCTGGGGTGGGGGTCAGTGGGGCAGGTTCTCTGGGGGCTGCCCCCATTGCCAGGGGGAGAGGGGTCTCCAGGCGGATTTGGAGGTTCTCCCCAGAGCCTGCACCCCCAGCCAGAGCCCACACCCCAACCCTCTGCCCCAGCCCTGAGCCCCCTCCCACACTACGAACCCCTGGGTCCCACACCCACCACACGTTAATGCTATATTGCTGCACATAACAAAATTCATTCCACACATGCATGCCCCAGACGCCGCTCTCCAGGGCCTCGTGTCACCTCGCTGCCGCTGGGCCAGCTCGAGAATTGACATCCAGGGAGGGGAGACTGCAGGGATGAAGCCCCAAATCAGGGGGATGGGCCCAGACCGGGTGCGGGAGGGACCCCTGGACACAGGGGGGCAGGACCCAAAGAGGATGGAAGGGGCCCCTGGACCCAGAGAAGACGGAGGGGACCATGGACCCAGGGGAGCAGGGTCTGGGGGCCAGATCCACACCCGTAGTACCTTCCCCCTTGTTCCAGGTGCAACGAAGCCCCGAATCAGGTAGAAGGGAACTAGCTCCGCCCCTCCACCAGGGAGAGGCTGCAAACTCCCCGCCCTCAGCTACTGCAAACCAGGGGCCGTCTGCAAAGTTCCATCCACCCACTGGGAGCCAGGGACCGTCTGCAAACCCTTCGCTCCACACAGCCCGCCATGTGCCAGTGCAGTGGCGCTCAGCCTTTCTAGACTGCTGTACCCCTTTCAGGAGTCTGGTGTGTCTGGCGTACCCCCAAATTTCACCTCACTTAAAAACCACTTGCTTGCAAAATCAGACATAAAAATGCAAACGTAAAGTGTACTGTGTATAGAGCAGTATAAACAAGGCATTGGCTGTATGAAATGTTCGTTTGTACTGACTTCACTGGTGCTTTTTATGTCGCCTGTTGTAAAATTAGGCAAATCTCTAGATGAGTTGAGGTACCCCCTGGAAGATCTCTGTGTATCCCCAGTGGTAGATGTACCCCTGGTTGAGAACCACTGTGCTAGGGCATGTCTGCAAACTGCCCACACACACACACACTGAATTGGGGCTGGGGATGTCTCCAAACTGCCCCTCGCTCCTTCCTCACCCTTTGCTGCCCTCTGGGGGCCATTTCACTGGCAGGCCCACTGTCCATTCCAGCCGCGCTGCCTTCCCCAAGGAGGGTCCAACCTGCCAGACACGCATGACCTCTATCGTGTGCACCCCAGGGGACCCCGAAGCCCAGCCCTGGGTGGGCAGGAGGTTTCCCCCCAGAAATCTGTTTGATGACACTAAAAATCACAGTGTCGATCGCCAGGCCGCCCTGGCCTCATCACCCATCAGCTGTCATTTGTCAGACACAAAGCCCTGGGGGATTTGTATTTTTTTATTTATTTATTTGTTGCTATTTCTGACACATTTCATTTCAGACTCATTGGCACATGCTCACTTCCCTACCCTCTTTCTACCCCCCAGTAAGACTCACCATCCTTTTGGGACTCATGACCCACCTCTTGAAGCAATGGGCTCAGGCTCTTTGCAAACTCAGGCAGCATCGGTCACACTCGGGGCAACTCCCCGCTCTCACAGCTCAGCTGGCCAGGAACAGCAGGGGCCCACGGAAAGCCCAGGAGCTGCAAGCAGACGGGCTGCAGGGACGTGTTCTGCAGTCACTCCCGGGGCCAAGGGAGGCATGTTTGGGGCTATGGAGTGGAGTCTGTGGTTACTACCTGCCTGGGAGGAGGGCGTCTGAGCTGGCAAATCCAGAGTGGGGAGCCAGAAAGGCCCAGGGGAAAGCAGTGGGGGAATGAGCTGCGGGTGTCCCCCGGAAGCTGCCGTGCAGGAGAGTGCACCGACGGCTGAGCTGCGGGTGTCGCCCCGGAAGCTGCCGTAGGGAGTGGCTAAGAGGAGCCGTTGGGCCAGAGAGCGAGCGAGTGACACTGGAGCCTGGTGCCTCAGAGCTCCCCAGGGGCGGGAGAGCAGGAACCCGTCCCTTGACTAGTGAGTTATGATCCAGAGTAACACAGCTTCAAGTATATCCCTCTGGGGGGAGGGATAGCTCAGTGGTCTGAGCATGGGTCTGCTAAATCCAGGGTTGTGAGTTCAATCCTTGACAGGGCCACTTAGGGATCTGGGGCAAAATCAGTACTTGGTCCTGTTAGTGAAGGCAGGCTAGACTCAATAACTTTTTGGGCTCCCTTCCAGAACCAGCTCTAGGCAGCAGCAAAACAAGCACGGGCTTGGGGCGGCACATTTCCAAGGGTGGCATTCTGGCTGTTCTCTTCCAGGAGTTGAGCCTTTTGGGTGTTGCAAGAAAAAGAGCACCGGCCCATGTGCTTACTTGAGGTTCACGGGTTTATTGTACAATTGCCCAGTAGAAAAGAGAAGCTGGGCGCATGGAAAGCTAGAAGGAGCTCAGGTGCTGGGAACAGAGCCCGGGGCTGGACCAGACAAACTTCTACAGGGTCTCGTTCTCTTTAAGCTCTTGCCATCCTTACTAATGGGACTGACCCCACTGGCTCCGGTGGAACAATTTGTGGGGTAAGGATTACTCAGGCTAGGAAGGGTTTGCAGGGCCACTCTCAAAATCCCAATGGAGCTGAAATCGAGAACCTCTCCGAGCGCAGACCTCACTGTTTCCGATCAGGTTTGTCTCTCTGGACTCGAATCCATGTAGGGTTTAAACGGAAATCGGTACCGTTTCCAAGCTAACCAGTTTGCATCAAACTCGGAAGCCCTCAATCCTGAATTTCGGAGGTGTGCAAGGGGCCAGCACATCTGGAAAGAGGAGAGCACATAGGGGCTAGCACAGACGTGTCAGCCAATGCAGGGTCCCTTCACTGGGATACCTTGTAACCGCAATGGTTTATAATGGCAGAACGCAGTCAGGCACCTGAGGGGAGAGATCAAACAGCTGGTTTATGTATCTCCAGAGTGAAGTTCAGCGTGACAGCTAGATCCCACGTGCATCGACCCAGGCCTCTAAGCAAACGTGGACTGGAACATGGCAAGGCTAACACAGAGTTCAGGATATTTCACACTCGTGTGTCTGGATCGAGAGAGAGATTCCAGACCGGGCGTTCCTAGGGAAACCTAGGGG